CTTCGCTGGACCACTGCACCAGCAGAGGGATTGTCAAAATCTGGGATCAGAGGACAGGTAAGTATTTCTCGATGGCAACTTATGGCTCATGTGCCTACAAAGAGGGCTCTGTGTGCCAGCTATGTTCTAGACCATATCATATCAACCACTTCAAATACCACACACAACTTAAATACTATTCAGCCTTTTTTTTCTTGATCGTGCCTAGGTATGCAAAATATTCCCCAAAAATACAAAAGAAGGAGAAAGCTAAAGTAGCTTAAGAACAAAATTACTATTTCCTTGCATGAGTATATAATAGAATTGTGCAGAGCAAGAGGATTCTGGTAGATGTGTCATCCAGGTCAGAATCATGTTCTAGACCAGTGACGGTGAACCTTTTTGAGCTGAAGTGCCCAGATCACAGCACAAAATCAACTTATTTATTTCAAAGTGCCAGCACTACAATTAAAACCCGAATACTGAGGTTTTAGTTTAGAAAAAAAAACTGCTCCTGCACTGCAAGGGTTAAATGCTTGGGGTTTTTTTCACTATGGGCAGTATTAACAAAGAAATACTTACCAGTCCTCCAATCTGCCATTGGGCTAGACTGGTAATGGTTGTCATTGCACTCCCTTCGCTGGACCACTGCACCAGCAGAGGGAGTGTCAAAATCTGGGATCAGAAGACAGGTAAGTATTTCTCGATGGCAACTTATGGCTCATGTGCCTACAAAGAGGGCTCTGTGTGCCAGCTATGGCACGCGTGCCATAGGTTTGCCTTCGCTGTTCTAGACCATATCATATCAACCACTTCAAATGCCACATACAACTCCACACACAACTTAAATACTATTCAGCCTTTTTTTTCTTGATCGTGCCTAGGTATGCAAAATATTCCCCAAAAATACAAAAGAAGGAGAAAGCTAAAGTAGCTTAAGAACAAAATTACTATTTCTTGTCTGAATATTTTGTAACAAAGATCTTCTTATCATACATGATGACTTTGTTATTGTTTACAGATTTGATGGTGAATGAATATTCTTGATTGTGTATTTTCCCAGTTGAGATGCATGTATAGAACAGTAATCTAAACATTAGAAACTTTGTCTATTTTTAAATTGGATTTTGCTAGTTTAAACTCTTCATAATCTTGCTTTGCATGCACCAGAGCTTCAAATTAGGTTGTCTGAAATAGTTTTGAAAAAACTAGAAAGAATACTTCAAATTCTTTTATCAGATCTTTTATCAGATATCGATATAGAGATAATGTTGTCCATCACTTCTGTTAAAGTTAGCAATTATACGGGAAGTTGCAAATGCAATTGCAGTATTCCCTGGGTCATTCAGAATGAAGAAATCATGCATAAATAATTGATGGCCCCACTCTCAGGAATTATCTTTATGTAAGCAATAGTAAATGAGAGTGAATGAATATTTTAAATATTTTAGTGTAATGGTTTTATCTTCCACAGAACTAAACACAACAACACAGTGACATATGACATTATCACCTGAAAGTTACATGTATACAGTACATGGACTTTCAACTCCCTTAACAAAACACCAGACTCTCTTAAAGTAGATACAACAATGCCCATATCAAGACTGTATACATTGCATAACAAACTTTATAAGGTGGTGTGTGAGGAATTATTTCCAGTGTGTGGCCCCCTTCAAATATGCCAAGGAATCCAGGGGGCCATGTGGTCTTGCAGTCTGTGGCCCCCTTCAAATGTGCCAAGGAATCCAGGGGCCATGTGGTCTTGTTTAAGAATGTCTGGTTTAGTGGATAGAGCAGTGATTTCCAATGTTGGGTCACCAGATGTTCTTGGACCTGAAAAATAATTGGGTCCCCAGATGTTCTTGGACCTGAAAAATAATCGGCCAGCATAGCTAGTGGTGAAGGCTTCTGGGAGTTTTAGTGCAAGAACATCTGGACCCAAGGTTGGGAATCACTGGGATAGAGCAATGGACTAGGACTCAGGAGCACTGGGTTTGAATCCCTCCTGAGTCATAGAAGCTTAGTGGGGGTGTGGGTCTGGTAAATCCACTCCTTAAATATCTCACCTATCTTGAAAGCCCTGTTGGGGTTTCTTTGAGTTGGTTCCACCTTGATGGCACATAACATAATAAATACAAGAAAAGTTTTTGAAGGCCTCACATGTTTTCATGAAAGGTTTATCACTGCTTCACATCCACTAGTCAAAATCCTGTTGTGATTTTGCATATATACAATTAGCTGTCATGACTAATTGATGAAGTGTGATTAGGAGCATGGTTGGCATGTGGCCAGTACTTCTTCAGTCTTGGTAACTTAACAAGATTCCTCTATTATTATTTTCAGACAATCCAAAGTGGATTTGAGAACAGCAGTCTCCAAGGCTGATGAAATGACCAGACTTACTGAGGATCTTAGGGCCCAGATTGCCCGAAGGGTAAACTGCATTCTCTGTGGGGTTCAAAATTCAAAGGGTTCACTGAACATCATTCTCTAGTATCCCATGCTTTGTTACATTGATAATACTAATAAAAAGTGTATGTATGATTTCCAGGAAGAAGATGTATTAGCCACTCAGAGGAGAGAGGACGCATCTGATAAACGTGTACAGCAATTGCAATCTAACATAAAACAACTAGAGACAAGGTAACAGTATTAAATAACAGCATAATGAAAATAATTGAGACAACAATCTTATATGTGAAATTAACATACACATGTATGTTATGCTGTAGATTGCTAGAAGCATTGTTGAGATACATCCATTCTTCCTCTTTAAGTAACTTTCTATTGGACATACTTGTTCATGTGTCTTACCTCTTCAAATACAACTTAGGTCATGTTTCTTTTTTACTCACTAAATGTCTTTTTTACTCTTATTTATTTTTATTTATTGCAACTTACTATGGGCTGGAGCCAAAGGTGCACTTCTATAGGTGGGAAGGTTTCTTTTAATCATAGAGAACTGACACTGGCACTGGACACTATTTAATAGATGACATATTTATTTTGAAGTATGAGAACTGCTTAAAATATGTCCCCTATCGTATTGCTTGCATTTTTGTGCCACAGTTCATGGAAGTGCAATAACTGTTGTTTTATTTCCACTTGTGAGTCTTTGGATTGAATCCCGTGTTCCTAACCTTCCTTGTCAAGTTTGTTTTATTTGTGTAATTATATTAATGGATCTGCATACAATACTCATCTGTGGTAGTTTCATGGGGAGGGAGGTTTGTAGCCCTTCCTTTTGGCTGTTTCAGTGTTTTATTTAGTTGATTCCATTGGACAAGATGACAAATTGCTTTTTGTACCTGAATATGCGAAAAAGATTTCAGTGCTGAGAACTGGTGTCAATCCAAACAGGGACCTTAAGCAGATGCAGCCTTGCATTCTGGAGAATAAAAGTGTTTTATTCTTAATATCATTATGCTTTGATCACTTCTGTTCAAGTAGTTTATGTTCATTAGTGAGTCAAGAACTGATTAATCTCTTTTGAACTTCCTGAGTACAATCTGTTTTACAGAAAACATGTCACAGTGAAAGAAACCTAGCTGTGATTTGGTGGGGTGCTGAGGCCTAGACAATGTCTAAGCAATGAGCTGTAAGTTTATGTGCTTCATTTTGGAAGGCAATCTAATTGACAAATTCTGTATCACACAGCAAATGAGTGCAAGTCCTCACTTATGGAAGCAATCATATACCGTATTTTTCGCTCCATAA